TCTAAATATGGCGTTTTGTTTAATTGTTATGCGAATAGAACTCGGGCGATATACTTCGTATACGCTGATTGTTAAGCTCGTGAAAAACCGATGTTTATTGTAGTTGTGATGGCGAAGAAGAAAAGTAGTTCAGGTAAGTCAGTCTTTAACATGTTTAATCAAAATGGCCTGAAAGTGATTTTAGGATTGGTGGCAACGGGAAGTTTTGCGATTGCCTTTGGTCAAGAAAAAATTCAGCAATACGTGTCTTTAAGCCCAAGCTCAAATTCAGCCTGTTTAGAACAATTTTATCGGGAAATTCCGCCTTATTTACTCAAAGAAAGTTTAAGTAAACACAGCTATGCACTGTGCTTTAACGGTTTTAATGTGATGTATTCGGGCGTTTCGAAAACACCTCTCTGGGTTGCAGAGGCCCTGACGCCGCAGCGCCTGAGCCAAAAAATTCCACGTGAAGATAGTTTTCACGAAGAAAATAATGTTGCAACCGAACATCGAGCGACATTGTCGGACTACCGTGGTTCAGGCTATGACCGTGGACATATGGCACCGAATGCTGATATGCCCAACAAAGCCGCACAATTCGACAGTTTTTCTTTGGCCAATATGGTGCCACAGGCCCCTAAAAATAATCAGCAAGTGTGGCGTGAATTGGAAGAAGCCACACGGGCGCTTGTGACCAAGCAAAAGCTGGATGTTTTTGTGGTAACTGGGCCTGTATTTCAGGGCAAAAAGCTCAAGACCATTGGTCAGGGAGTGATTGTTCCGAGTGCGGTTTACAAAGCGGTCTATATGCCAAAAACGGGTGCAATCGGCGCTTATTACGCACCGAATGATAATTCACAGCAGGTAAGAATTGTCAGTGTCTGCTATTTGGAAGAGCAGTTGGGTGTGAATTTATTTCCGCAACTGACAGAAGAGCAAAAACGTAATACCTATAAACTACCGTTGACAGCAACGGCGGTAAAAGCCAATAGTGCAATTCAATACTCACATTGGGATGCGGAAAGTCAGTGTGCAGAAGAGGTTTCATCCGAGCAGCTCAAAGCCTTACAAAAAAACTTTAAATCGGGCTCTACTCAGTCGAGTAGTGGTAGCACCGTAACAAAGGGCACGGGTATTGATGCGGCGGATCAAGATGCGATTGTGAAACAATTGGTCGACGCCTTATTGCAATATATTTTGCAGCTGTTACGTTAAAGTTCTATGCAGTTGAATGTATAGACATTCGACTGCAGTGCACAATGCCTGAAAAACAAACAAGAGTAAAAATAAAATGTTTAAACCTTTTGTACAAGGTAACGAGTCCCATGCCATTCATGATTTGACCCTTGAAAATGACACGGACTGCGTCAGTATTTATGGCAATTTACAACTCACCAAAGACCAAGCCGGTTTAGCTGCGGCCAAAGCATTGCAGGCGTATCTGAATGCCATTGTGCAACAGCTTGAAAGTGAAGCTCAGCTTCCTGAGAAAATTGAACATCCGCAGTCGGGTGAAATTGACAATCCATTTTTATAATATAAGCCTATCTATGTTCCATGTGGAACAATAAGAANCTTAACGCGGCTGTTTCAGCAAATATTGCAACACCTGTACTTCGTGCAGGGTTAACCGAGGTGTTGGTCACTGGAATACTGATCAGGTGAATCAAGGTTAGAGCTAAACCAATGGCAATCGGTGCGAAACCAGCAGGTGCACGTTTATCTGTGGCACCCATAATCACGATTAAGAACATTGCGGTCAGTACAATTTCAATCATTAAAGCGGAGATTAAGGAGTATTTTCCTGGTGACAGTTCGGCATAACCATTGGTCGCAAAGCCTCCTGTACCAGCAAAACCCGCTTGTCCTTGGACAATCAGGTATAACACCCAAGCGGCTAAAACTGCACCGACCACTTGGGAGACCACATAGGGGATCAGATCTTTGGTATCAAAGCGTCCACCGACCCATAAGCCGACACTGACCGCAGGGTTAAAGTGCCCGCCAGAGATATGTCCAAGTGCAAAGGCACCCGTTAAAACGGTTAAACCAAAGGCAAGAGCAACGCCAAGAAAGCCAATGCCCAACTCGGGAAAAGCTGCTGCAAAAATGGCACTGCCACAGCCTCCGAAGACCAACCAAAACGTTCCGATGAATTCAGCAAGATATTTATTCATAATGCGCCTTTTGTAGTTATTGATGTTTTATTCGCGTAGAACTTTATATTTAACGAGAAAATGCTCGTTTTTCAATCAATTTAACAAAAAAAGCATGACATCCTGATGCCGTGGATCAAACAGATCAGATTTTAGTGAAAATGCTGAATACGCCACTGCTGAGGTGTGACTTGGGTCCAGTGTTTAAAGGCACGTTGAAAAGCACTTTGTTCAGAGTAACTTAGCAACAGTGCAATTTCCTGTAAGCTGAGGTGTGGATCTTTTAAGTATTGCTCCGCCAAGATACGTCGGACTTCTTGCATCCGCTGTTGGTAGGTCGTGCCTTGTTGTTGTAAGTAACGTTGCAGCTGTCGGACTGAAAAATTTAGTTGCCGAGCAATATGTTCAATTTGATATTGGTTTTTTTGTAACCCCGTTAAAATCGCATGCTGTAAGCGCTGGTCGATGTGAGTAGAGTTGGGAAGTTTTTCCAGTAAGGCTTCGGCTTGCTGTAAGAGCAGTTTTTGCAGGGTTTGATCACCTTGCTGAAAGGGCATGGATAATTCGCTGAGGGGAATCATCATCATTGGCCGGCTTTGAGAGAAGCGAACTTTACAATTAAAGTACTGCTCATACAGTGCCGTATTTTTCGGTGCAGGGTGAGTAAAATGAACCTCGCTGAGCTGGATGTCGTCATGGGCGACAAAGTGCTTCATAAACTGAATGATCAGCGCCATTGCCACTTCATTGCTGAGTTGTGTGGTCAGTTCAATCGGCATCTCCACCCAACCAAAGCATAGATTTTCACCTTCAACTGCAACATATAGCGAACTGCCATCATAAATGAGACGGTGAAAGTCATGATAACGGGTGAGCGCCTCGCCTAAATTTTCGCAGGACAGCGCAATATAGCCCAAAATGCCTAAATGTTTGGGCTGTACATACTTTGCAATCTCAAGTCCAAGCGCAGGGATGTGCAGGTGGCTGTCAAGATCATTCAGTAACTCTAACCACAGGGCATAATCAAAACGTTCTAAGTTCTGTGCTTTTTCAAGCTGTTCAGAAATTGGGTAGCCCACGGCTTGGCAATAGGCATAGAGTAAATGCCCCAGTCCACCGTAGACAGAACCTGTGTAGTCTTTGAAATGTTGCATTTATTGGCTCTATTGTTCTTGTCGTAATTTGTCAATGAATTTGAATGCTAGGGTCAATATTTAGCATAGTTTCCACATTATATTCAATCTGAATATAGGAGGAATTTGCCATGTGGAAGGGTTTTGTCGCAGGACTGGTGGTTGCCAATGCGTTTGAGTGGGTTGCACATAAATATATTTTGCATGGAACACACCGTGCTGGAAAGCCACGCTATAGCCCCGTGCCTGACAGCATGAAATCGCATTGGGAGCATCACCGAGAAGTACGGAAAACCACGTTTCATGATCATGGTTATGTTGAAGGTTGGAGCAATTGGCGTACCAAAAATGAAATCGTGTCACTCGCTGTCGTGGCGGGTGTGTTTGGGACATTATTTTATCCTGTCTCCAAAGGCATGACTTTGTCTGTGTTGTACAGTGCAGGAAATTATTACTACATCCACCGCCGTGCGCACTTAGAGCCAGACTGGGCAATGCGTAAGATTCCTTGGCATTATGATCATCATATGAACTCCAATCAGGATGCCAACTGGTGTGTGACCAAGCCATGGTTTGATTATATTTTAGGAACGCGGGTCATTTCCTCGCTGGATTTGCAAGAGCAAAATCCGTTGGGTATTGCTTTACCCCAAGTGGTGTCGAATAAGCTCACCCAGTGGGTCAATCAGGTCTTCCCTGCAAAATGGGTTGAGGCACCTGAAGCTATTTCGCTGAACTCAGTGAAGACGACGGAAACGGTTGCAGGATAATGGAATAGGGTGTTTTTGTCGTGATTTGTCAATAATATTGGTATGTATTGTCAATATTTCGTCATTTGAACATTCTATAGTAAAGCTGTTGATGAGATGAAATCATCTCATGAGCACTAGTACGTCATTTTTCATTTTCCAGTTTAACAAGACAATGTTGTAGTTATTCTAGGTTTATAGGGAGTCGCAAGACTCCCTTTTTTTTATCTCAAAAATTGAGAGCATAAGTTCGGTCGAGAGCCAGCGAGCATTCTAAACTTTAACATTTGCTGCATAATAGAGGCGATAGTTACTGTCCGACTTTTCTCAAAAATTGAGAGTGTAGGTTCGAACAAGATCCAGAGAGCATTCTAAGCTTTAACATCTGCTGCATAATTGAGGCAATGGCACTAGCTGTGAATGAGTACAGTGGAATTGAGCTTTTTAATTTATCTGTTTTTTAAAGCCCGTTAAAATATAGCGATCCATTTCATCGGTATAGTCAGGGGAAAACTGAAAGCAAACATGCTCGTTGATGTTTAAGGTTTTGAGATCAGGGAAGCTTTGTCTGGCACGCGGACTATTGCTAAATAAAAAAGCTTGTCGATCACTCTGAAAGTAAAACACTTTTTCAGTACTAATGTTGTGCCGTCGATAATGGGTGACCTCTGACCATTGTGTAAAAATACCACAAGCCCGAATTTGATCAGGTGCAATCAGCGCTTTTTCATAATACTGTTTAAACTGATATTTGCAGAAACTGATATAGCTAAACAGGCATAAACCAAGGAGTAGCAGTACGGCTAGCATACCGAAAGGGCGGTCAGCATATTTCTTCATCAAAAGGATGAAAACAAAACAGATCAATAGACCACAAATAAATAAGATTAGTTCTAAGTGATACATTTTTTCTCATCTTTAAAATGATAAAAAGAGTACTCGAAAGCACTCTTTTCATAGGTTTTACGGTTATGGTCTGTTTATAGACGCATTTCAATGCCTTGCTCTGCAAGGTATTTTTTCGCTTCAGGAATGGTGTGTTGTCCAAAGTGGAAAATCGAAGCAGCCAGTACAGCGTCTGCGCCACCTTTTAAAATACCATCGGCCAAGTGTTGTAAGTTACCGACACCGCCCGAAGCAATGGTTGGAATGGTGACGCGGTCATTGATTTGACGCATCAGCTCAAGGTCATAACCTGCTTTGGTACCATCGGCATCCATCGAAGTAATCAGCAGTTCACCTGCACCAAAGTCGGCCATTTTCACGGACCATTCAATCGCATCAATACCAGTTGGTTTACGGCCGCCATGGGTAAAAATTTCCCATTTGTTCTCGCCCGTTTTTTTTGCGTCAATGGCAACCACAATACACTGTGCGCCAAAGCGTTGCGATGCTTCTTGTACAAATTCTGGGTTAAACACCGCTGCTGAGTTAATGCTGACTTTGTCCGCGCCAGCATTGAGTAAGAGACGAATGTCTTCAACTTTGCGAACGCCACCACCGACCGTTAAGGGAACAAAAACCGTTTCAGCCATACGTTCAACCGTACGATAAGTCGTGTCGCGACCATTCGAAGTTGCGGTAATGTCTAAGAAGGTAATTTCATCAGCACCTTGTTCGTTATATCGACGTGCTACTTCTACTGGGTCACCTGCATCACGAATATCAAGGAATTGAACACCTTTCACTACACGACCGTTGTCTACGTCGAGGCAAGGAATAATACGTTTAGCTAGCATAATTTTTTCCAAAAATAACAGCCGATTATGAAACTTCGCGACTTAGATGCTACACCTTAATAGTCGGAGCGGGTATTCTATCAAACTTATGTAAGTTTTTTTGCAGGTTTTATATGTCGGTTTATACCACTTTGACTTTACAGGAAGTTCAGGCGTTTGCAGCACCTTATGGACTTGAGGTAATCGATCTGATCCCAATTCAAGGCGGTATTCAAAATACGAACTATTTTATTGTGTGTGAAAATGCTGTGCAGTATGTATTGACTGTATTTGAAGAAATGGATGAACAGGGCGCAGGCGAGTTGGTTCCTGTACTTGAGCATTTAGGTCAGGCTGGTTTAGCGGTTCCTGTACCTTTAAGTCATTCAGGCAAAGCCATTCATAGTTTAAAAGATAAACCCGCACAAATTGCCCCACGGATGATGGGCAAACATCCCATGCCTGCGACCCTTGAGCAAGCCGAGGCGATTGCGGTTGCACAAGCGCAAATGCATGTCGCACTGCAAGATTTTCCACTGGAGCGTGCAGAATACCGTGACCATGACTACTGGCTCGCTGTAGCGTTACAGATGAAACCGACATTAAGTGAGGCGGATCAAGCACTGCTGAGTAAGTTGTTGGGTTTGTATGACGCATTATCAGCGGTTTATCCGAATCGTCCAAAGGGCTTTATCCATTCGGATTTATTCCGTGACAACACTTTGTTTGAGGGCAATCAGCTCAAAGGCATTTTAGACTTTTATGAACTGAATAAAGATGAGTTCTTGTTCGATATTGCGATTACGCTGAATGACTTCTGCACCGAATATCCAAGTGTGCATTTAAATGAAGCCAAGGCCATCGCATTTTTAAACGCCTATGAAAGCATTCGTCCTTTGACTGCTGATGAAAAATCTTGCCTAGAGTTGTATCTCGCAATGGCTGCTGCACGTTTTTGGATGATGCGTTTACAAGTGGCACAAAAAAATGCAGAACAAGGCCGTACGGGGGATGACATTTTGCAGAAAAATCCTGCCGAAATGCGTAATATGGTGATTGACCGCTTAAAGTTTGTAACTGCTTAAATAGGAAAGAAAAATGCGTGACCAAGGACGACTCGTTGAATGGTTTGATGAAAAAGGCTATGGCTTTATTCAGCCCAACGATGACAGCAAAGATCGCGTGTTTTTACATATCAAGGACTTTGCACGGCAAGGTCCTCGTCCTATTTTAGGCTGTGCGTTGGAATACAACGTGCTTGTGGATGCGCAAGGGCGTTATCGTGCACAGCAAGTTAGTTATTTAAAAGCATCACAAACCCAAAAGAGTCATACCCAAAAAGTCTCCCCGAAAAAGACCGAACAGGGTCAACGCTGGAGTCCAATGCAAATTGCGTCGGTGGCATACATCGTGTTTTTGGCGCTATTGGTACTCCTGGGGCGTTTGAGTGGATTGGTGCTGCTGTTTATTAGTGTGATGAATGCGGCCAGTTATTGGTTCTATGCGCAAGATAAAGAAGCTGCGCAAAATGGACAGCGCCGTGTACCTGAAAATACACTACATCTCCTTTCATTTTTAGGGGGGTGGCCTGCCGCATGGTTAGCGCAGCAAAAGCTACGACATAAAACACAAAAACAACCGTTTAGAAAGATTTACTTTTGTACAATTCTATTCAATATTCTTTTAATTTTATGGCTTATTTCTCCTTTCAATAGTTTGCCTATTTAAAGTTCAAGCCCACTTCATGAG